CCTCGGAAGCTTGTCGCGGCAGTACCGGGTGGCGCCATGGGATGGGCTGGAGACATATCGTTTTTCTTGCGTCTTCCTGTGGGTTCGCGAAGTGAGCCGAGAGTCAATGTCGATTCCACAGACATGGGGTCTGTTACGCAAGGATAAAAAGAAGAACCATGGGAAGAATGTGTGGTAGGGCCAGGGGGATCAAGCGCAGTAGGGTCATGAGTCTCAACTGAGGCGACAGGAGACTCGCCAGTTATTATGGTTGTGTCCATCTGATACGAAGACGAATCAAGCGCAGTAGGGTCATGAGTCTCAACTGAGGCGAGAGTAACCGCTCCAGTCGTCATAGAAGTATCCATCGGATGGTAAGACGAGAAATCATGCGAGGGAAGGGCAGAAGAAAAAAGCGATGCAGGAATAGGAGACGAAGTCGAAGACCCGGGAGGGACTTGCAAAGACTCGTAGCGCATAATGGCAGGTCTCATTTCAAGATGATCATCCGCCGGGGAAAGGGAAGACGTAGAAGAAGCGGGATGGTTACCATTGTTCTGGACCTGTTTCTTGTAGGACTTTGGGTCCAAGAGCATGGACGGATGGGAAGCCATCTTTCGTCGTCGAGCTTCGGGTATTTGGGATAAAGTTTTGTTCGGATGGTGGGACTAAAGTGACGGTATGCAAGTCCTAGAGAGAACGTACGCAAGTCCTAAAGTGACGGTACGCAAGTGTCAGTGGCTTGAACGAAAGCCGGTTTCGCTGGCGAAAGTGCGTGATCGCTTCTTTTTATCACTTACCGTAAACTGTGGACGGTTTGCACCGCACCGAGTCCGTATGAGTCAAAGCTTGAAGGCTTATGAAACAGTGAACAGCGTTCACGGGAGCCAGGTGGGTTGTAGGTTGTATGTGTAGACTCGACGGCGACTCGTGATAAATCCACCGCCTGACGTTTTGTAGGTTTTGCTGTGAACGCAAGTTGGTCGTCGGGGGTAACGAAATTTTGAGCCTCGAGAGAATGTAGTACAGTTTAATGTTGGAACACGATGACGGCGCAAATTGTCTGCTGAACGAAGGGAGCGCCTTCCAGACGCGAGAGTCGCAGGATCTCTCTCGTCATTGGAAGTTCACGATACTGGCGCAAAGCACGGGCTAGTATCGTGCCACTTCAGTCTGGAGTCCTGGGTAATATTTATGGCAGTGGTTATCGTGTCGATTCCTTGGTCGCAATCCTGTCGGCGCCTTGTCGTTTGCCTGCCCGTGGGGTCGATTATAACCAGGTCGAAAGTGGCACCTAGGGATTTTCGAGGTACTTGCTGGCCTCGAGCGGCTGTTAGGGATATCGGCGTGCGCGACGGTATTCGTCTCGAGTCGTTTGTAGAGGCAGAGGATGAAGCAAATGACCTCAATCTCGGATAATCCCGATAAGGGTCTTATCAGTGCCGCGTTTGAAGCCGTGTTTGGGGCGTACTTTATACGCTAGATGATAGATATAGATCGGAATAAAGGGGATAAAGGGAATAAAAGGGGGATAGGTCGAGAAAGATGGTCGAGATGAGAGGAAAGGAAAAAGAAAATTTATGGTAAGTGTGATATATGTCCCCGCGCTTAGTCGCCCGGGCGAGGCTTTATAGATCAAATGATATAAACGGGCGTTTAGCTTGAGACATTCCGGAGCCTTCTTCGATAGTGCATATAGGCTACTTATTGACGATAGCTGATACCAGCCATATTTGAGTCTAGCCTAGGTGTTTTCGTGATAGCCACGATGTTATCTCATCTCATCGTTGAAAGTGGATACTAGCATGATCTATATTAGCCCGCCCAACGCTATACATCAAGTGAACATAACTCACTCGTAAAGCAAAATCGTCATACCCAGTGACATAAACTGCAAAAATCCACAAGTCAGTACCTCCAGAAAATCGAACAGTAACTCGTGACCTAGACACAATCATCCCCACAGCCAGGCGAACGAACAGGCGCCGAACAAATGACCACCACAGAATCTATGGAATGTCTACTAGTCCAAATGCAGCCAAAACAATTTAAACAGAAGGGACGACAAAGGTATCATAGAATTAAGTCTCGTCATATATGCTACATGAGGCAGTTCGCTCAATCAATGCGCCACAACCCAAGGCAACCGGAACAGCCAAAGAAGATCTATATACAACACGGGAATCTCCCCAAATCATGAGCATGTCCAGTAAAGGACTCGTGTGAAAGGTCACAGAAAGAGAAGCGCAGTCAATATGTCTTGAGCGGGAAATTGGGGGCCGGCGAGTGTGTGGTTGGATCCCGGTTTCCCGCTCAACACATCGCTGCAGAAGATGGGTGCAGATTAATGAGGAAAAGAAATGCAAAATGCGAAAGTGTAGAAATAGAAGGTGATGCAAGGCCGAGCAAGGCCGATATAACATTAGCACCAGGTGAAGACGGGATTTTTACTTTTGACGGCTTCGAGGCGCTCAACGATCACCTTGCGTTGATTGCCTTCCATGCCTTCAGCAACTGCGTAGCCAAGGTCTCCTTCCAGGTCATCGCTGCCAAATGTGTTGACGTGGGGAACGCGGTAGGACAGGGACCCGCCTTGCTTTCGGTGCTTGTGAGGAGGACGCGGAGGAAGTGAAGGCCACCCGTCGAGAGATCCACCAGCTGTACCATCGGCATTTCGAGCGAAGTCCTGCTCATTCATAGTAGCAGGGCTACCAATCGAGCCGCCAGCGTCGCCATCGGCACGACCGCGAGAGAGCTCGAACCGGTTCGGGTTAGGGAGATCGCCGGGCGACGAATTCAATCCTAACAAGTCGCGCTCGCGTTCTGGGACTGGTTGGGAAGAGGCAGATGCGCCGATGTCCATCTCTTCTTCATAAGGGTCGTAATTCATAGATTGGTTTCTTTGCCTGTCGGTCGAAGGAGCGCGCATCGGGATGGCAACGGGAACATCAACTAGATCATCCCAGACACAGACACGGGTACGACGAGTGAGTTCGAGCGGGCCGTGATCCGGTTGCTTCAATGTCTCCACGACATTCCAGGCTTGACCTTTCATAACCGCAATTTGGCGAGCGAACATGCTCTCCTTGAAATCGTCATCTTGCGCAAAGATGCCACGCAGAGCCATTTGTGTTCCGCTCCACCAATCTGTCGATGTAAGGAGGGGGAGGAAGTGGTCGCGGGTTCTTTGCGAGAAGGGCTGTCCGATCAAGGATACTGGCAGGAAGAGCCAACCGAAGGGGAAACTGCGCCACTGCGAATTGTTAGTACTGACCATTGAGATGGATGGACCGGAAACTTACTGCGTCTGGATGTTTCCATGGCCAAGACAGACTGTTGTCAATGGCACCAAGCTGAACAGAAGCTGACTGCTCAGACGAAGCTAGGGGGTTCCTGTGCGACTGATTGCCATCATAGTTTCATGTCGCTTATAGGGAGCATTAGGGCTTTTTGTGCCGTTCGAGTTCACGGAAACTGGACGAGGCGGAGGCAAGAGTTCATCCTCATCATGCCTAGGTTGTGGCTCGTTGTTCTTGGGAGGGTCTGCCACAATAGAAACCGACTCTGTCCCCCAGTCAATCTTGACCATCCAGTTATCAAGGCCTCGATCGGTGTTTCGCATGATGTAATCCAAAATCACAAGCTTCTCCAGCTCTTCGCGGAATGATTGCTTGAGATTCTCCGTCCAGTAGAATTGGCGCTCGGCACTCGGGTCACGCGACGGGGGTGGTGAGGGTACGTATCCAGGGTCTTCGTCATCCTCGTCGTCTGACTGTGTCCCTGAAGGACGGCAGGCCTCGTTCCATGGCCGCTTCTTGCGCTTCGGGGCATCCTCGGCGCGGAACCCGGTGTTGGTCTGGTCAGGCCAGGGGTGTTCTCGTAGGAAAATGTTGGCATCCTTGAATCCTTTTAGGAAAACTTGGAAACTCCCTGCCTTGGGGGGCAACGATTTCTTGCCCTTCCATGCCTTTCTTCGATCCCAGAAATCATAGAAGAATGATTTCGAGGATAGCCGCACAATACCGGTGTAGGGAACGAGATTCGTGCGCAGGCGAGCATCGAGAACGTAGGCGGCGGCTTCCGAGACGTAGGAAAGGTTGGGAATGAGACATGCACGGCCGAAGAAGCAGGGGAACAAGTTGCGGTGAATCCATTTGGTCCATTTGGGGTTTCGTGAGGCGTAGGGCTCCTCGTCCTTCGGTTTAAACACACCCACTACCTTCCCCTCGGGGTTTCGAGCAAAGTAACTGCCCGAGCTTCCTTGTGAGATCATCCGCGGGTGTACGTCGAGTTCAATGGCCAGGCGAACACTTTCGATGATCTCCTCGTATTCAGCTCGGGCTCGCCTTTGCTCGCCTTCAAATTCATCTGATTCGAGAGTTTCGGCAGTCACAGGGCGGATACCTGGAGGGGCCTGGAAGACCGAATGATAGATCTCCAGCTTCTCCTCCTCATAACTCTTGCCCTTGACTCTGTTGATCTTGAATTTGGAGGCAATCTCATCCGCCCACTTTTCAAGACGCGCATTAATGGCCTTGATATCTACACCGGAGTTCCGACGTCCCCGGGGGTATTGATATCCGCTATGCCGGCGTCGATGACCGTTGGGCGAATGGAGACCGGATGCCTGCATCTGGGCTCGGGAGGAGATGGGGGCATATCGGGGCGCGGAGGTGGATGCTACCGAAATAGCACCTTGTTCCTCCTCTGAATCATAGTGAAGATAGCCCCGTTCCTCTTCCTCCTGGGCGAGTCGGGCGTATCCCGATGTGGCAGGGCGGTTTTTCGGCATTGTGAGGAATCGGACTATGGAAGGGGGCAACGGAAGGAGCCAGTGGAAAGGAAGGACGGCAAATTAAGACAAAAAGGAGGTTACTCCATTACAAAGAAGGGAAGGTAAGAAGGTGAGAAAGTGAAGGACCGGCTAGAGGCGAAGGCAGCTGAAATAACACTGGCTAGACACTTAAGGGCAGGGGGCGTTTCGGGGTACGGGATACCCTTAATTTACCGGGGCGGTGAAAATGTCAGCGGGCAGAAACGGCCACCTGTTTGCGGTTGGCTGGTCCGGTGTGCTAAATACGGTAATACCAATACGCACCGCCACGTCTCCACCCCCTACGTAGTTAAGCATAAAAGGGGTGTCTCTCCTTATGTAGATTGGCGGTTTATACAGGTTTGTACGGCAGAGTATAGCGATTTAACAATGCTTAAGTTGACTTCGTAGAAGTGAAATGTTACCTACACATATCTATGCTATCTATGTTTAGTAAATCCATCTATTAAGCCTCTGGCTCTATATACAGGGGACCTTGATATATGTCTCCGGTCTAGGAAATTATTAGAGGTGGACAGCAGAACTCAATTGACTTGTCTCGCAAGTCTGGAGTGGCAGGGGAATGGTAGAGGAGGCAGGGCATTCCTATACCTAGTAGGCATGCAGTGGTATTAAATAAGCACGATAAGACACGCGATAATAACAATCGGAGGATAAGATCTTCTTCTTCCCCTTCCCACCTTCGATCTTGATGATCTTAATGTTTCTAATCTGATTGTTTCTTCTTGATTTAATCTTTGATTTAATCCTCGGGTCCTTCCCATCCTCTCTTTCCATTCTTACCCGTTCGACCTTCGACCGTCGTTCGACCTGTCCGAGTACCTGAGAGATCTTGTCTTTGATCTGATCGATTGCTTCGATTGCTTCAGTCGTCTCAATTGCCTCGATTGTTTCTTAATTCTCCAAGTCAACAAATCTCAATTGCAACCGTCGCGTGATTCGACCGGTCGTTGTCTTCCCAGTCCTCCAATTCGGTTCACGGCCGGATTTCAATCGACACCCGCCTTCCCACCTCCACGGTGGCTTCCATCCTCTACAGGGCGTCGCCCATTGACCCGGCTCTCAAACCTGGTTCGCCTCAAGTCCGCGAATTTCCCTACGATTCCCCGTCCGAAGCCTCTACTACGCGTCAGCCCTCCAACGGATCGATACCCTTTTCTACCACGCTGCCGGATATCAAAAGTGTGACAAAATTCGAGAGTGATTACCCCAGCTCGTCCACTGTCAGCACTTCGCTTCCTGGATTGGCAGCCCTGGCTTCTGTCGCATCAGCACCAACCTCTAATCTCCGGTACGTGAGGACATACAAGACAAGCTGGATCACCTGCCCAGGTGCTCACCTGGGCTATCTATATTGCGTAATCTTGGAAGATCAGTAATATGGCAGTAATCTGTCCCCTCTCTTGTGCATAAGGTGTATCAGAATGAGGTTATATGCTGCGAACCCACCAATTTGCCAATTGCGAACGTGCGAATTTGCAACTTGTCGTCAACCTGCTAACTCCTATCTAGATCATCAAGCGATGCCAGTATGAGCATGGCCAACATGACCTATACCTCGCCCGCCGCAACCACTGGAGGGAGCCCTGTAAGAATCCGCTTATCTCGGGTCTTGGCACCTGGACCGTGCACCCGCATTTTCCCTTTCCTTATCGACTCAAACTCATCTTATCATTCTATCTTCTCCCATCTTCCTCACTTCCACCATGGCCACTACATTGACTGACGACAATCGTACTCAATTACAGCCGGTTTGCCAAAATTGCGGCACCTCCACTACTCCCTTGTGGCGACGTGATGAACAGGGCTCAGTCCTCTGCAACGCCTGTGGACTGTTCTTGAAACTTCATGGCCGTCCTCGTCCGATAAGCTTGAAGACCGATGTGATCAAAAGTCGCAATCGCGTCAAGACCGGTCAAGGTCCCAAGCGCAAGGTGAGTTTGCGATCAAAAATTTTCCCTCCCCAGCCTCTATCTGGCCCTAGATAAGATATGTGCTGATACGAGATTGCGAACATAGTCCGGCGGCCCTGTCGATACCAATGGCCTTCCTTCCAGATCGGAGGCCGGAACTCCTCCTCTCGGTGGGCATGGATACCGCCGCGCGTCGCGTAAGATGTCACCGGGCCATTCCGATCGCTCGAACTCCCCCGTATCCCGGACCGAGACACCTGGCTTTGGCTCGATGCACGCGCACAACTCGAATATCGCACCCCAGCACATGTTCGATAGCGTCACTCTGGGCGATAACATGAACTCCTCCAGCAGCCTCCCCTCGCGCCAGATGCGCCAACCCTCCCCTTCAGCAGTCGACCGCCAACTTGACTCCCCCCACACATTCGAAAGCCTCCTGGCCCTCAACACATCCCTCAAGACCCGCGTCAGTGAACTTGAGTTTGTCAACGAGCTCTTCCGCGGCCGCGTGACAGAACTCGAGCAGAGCGACGCCAGCGCGCGCCGGTCGGAGATGATTGTACGAGACTCCGAGGTGCGTCTCCGCCGATCCCTCGAGGACTCCCAGCGCCGCGAAGAAGATCTCAAGCGTCGCGTCAGCGACCTCGAGCGCCAGATCGGAACCAGCAGCGCCGGCGACGCCGAGTCCGGCGAGCCCTCCGCGAAGAAGATCCGCCTGTCCGACGTGGTGGAAACCAGCGAGGAAGCGCAGACCAAGTCGCAATCTCCCAAGAGCGCCTAGGTCCGCTATACTCAATCTATTTAACCACCCCAAACCACGCGTATATCATAACTAGGTTGGCTCTCTACGCGGCCACCCAGTTGCTGGTCTTATCCCGGTTCCTTCTGATCTTTTTTGATACCCTTCACCTCCATGGCTCCATTGTCATCACTGGCTGGAGCTTTAACAAAAAAAGCTCATACTCTTGAATGGTTTCAATTCTTTCCCCCCCTTTTCTTTTCCCTATGTCTGGATGTTTTGCAAACCCTCTCTGTTCTAATTTGCTTCCCTGCGCTGTGCTGTACGAACTTCTCTATGCTTCTAATACAATATTCTTTACATCCTTTGCTTTTGAGTGGTTACGAGGACCTGGAGATTGATACGTGATATAGTTGGAGGATTCTTGTTTGGGTGCTCTGTCTTGGAACTTATGATAGTTGGCAATCTTGAGTCTACTTTTTGTCATGTTCCTGCTTGCTGGTAATCGACTCCATATGGTTATTCTAATGGTAGACTGTACTAGTGATATCTTCTTGGCCCGTTTCTGGCATCACATTCTATGGGTCGATGTGGTAGATGTGATATACGTACCTTCTGTCATCCATGGATGATCACATGTTTATCGACAATATGCCTATCTGCAGTACAAACATACTTTATACACCTTCAACAGTGTATTCCTCCTACACTAGCTAGACATATAAACCCCTAGCTGGTGCATATCATCCCAAGCGATACGTGAAGAGACACACAAGTATTGAATAAGTTCGATACTCCCCATGTATATAAAAAGAAATCCCGAAGCTGTCACACAAGAAGGAAAAATGAAGTAAGGGAAACCCGCCAGACGCGAAGTGTGAAGTCTATAAGAGAACAATGCATCGTGGGTATCTAGTGTCGAGACCAGACACATAACGTGCCACCAAATGCACTCTACTGTATACCAAGTCTTAACAAACCGAACAGATATCAAAAGGGACAAAGAAGACAAAAAGAAAGAAGTAGGGAGACAGATAGACAGGCAACCAAGGAAGGTCACCATCCGCTAATGATCGTTATGCAGACAGGGCTCACGCAAGCCGGTGACCAGCCTTCCTGTTCATGGCATTATGAATCGACCGCTCGCGGAAGATACTCCAGAGACAAACGGCGATACCGAAGATACCCGAGACAAAAGTCATGAAATATGCCGAGCGGTAGCAGCCCAGACCATCAGGACATTCCCGATCACCGTCCTTCCCGACCACGGAATGGCCATCGTAAATGCTTCCGTATAGGATGTTAAAGACGTTACCACTGAACACAGGGGCGAGGGTCATGACACCCCAATTCTGGGATAGACCGCCGATACCGAACGTGTGAGCAGTGAGGGAAGGGAAGACGCCGAAGAGGAAGCCGTAGGCGATACCCGTCATACCAGAGACGACGACCAGACTGTTCGGGTTTGAGATTGATGTACCGGCTAGCTGAGTCAGGGTGAAGACGAGGGCTGAGATGAAGAGACACCAGAAGCGGGACATGCCGAGTTTCTTGACTAGGAGGTCTGAGCCGATACCGCTGAAGAGACGGCCGAGGAAGTTGCCGAAGGAGAGGATGGAGACGTGCATTACTTGGCGGTGCTGGATGAATGTGTCTGTGGCGCTGTCATCGTAGTAGAGCCATAGGGCTTTGACGCTGTTACCGATGTTGTTGATTGTCATTAAGCCGATTCCGGAGAGCAGGGCCATTGTTAGGAATAGTTGCCAGAATTCGACGCGCTTGAGCATAGCTAGGCCTCTGATGTCTAGGTGGTGCGATTCATCTGCTACTTCGTCTAGGAAGTCGTCGTCTAGGGTGTCGAAGGATGGGCGGGGGTGGTCGTCCTTGGAGACTAGGGAAGACGTCTCGTCGTTGTGGCCAAGTGGTCTACCGTGGGAGTTTGAGACGGCTGATTGGGATCGTGCGTGGGCGGGGTGTTGCCCGTGCTCGAAAGCGGTTGAGCCATGTAGGCCGGAGTCTTCTGCGGCCTCTGGTACAGATCGTAGATCTGTGGGGTGATATAGTCGCCTAGAATCGGCTGCGTTGTGTGGGACAGCTGAGTAGGGCTCGGAGGCGAGGATTCGAAGCAATGGAATTGATGCAAATGACAGGATCGAGGTACCGAGGGCCAAGAGCAGAAGGAAGCGGCCGGTGTCGTCCTTGAAAATGAGTGTGGATACGTTGGACCAGAACAACGCACTGAGTCCAAAGGCGGCCAGCGGAAAAGCAGTAGCTGTGCCACGGTGATCGGGGAAGTTGGATGCCGCTAGTCACATTTGGTTAACCATAATTCAAGCATGTGTTTCGTGTAACGTACCTGTCTTGATGGCACCACCGAAGGCAGCGCAGCCACCCATTCCGGTCAGAAAAGTAAATAAGCATAGGAAGATAATCGGCATGGATCCTTCGCCATGTTCATATGCTACTAACATTAGCGCCATTCAATATAGAGGCCGTAGCGGAGCATACCCAAGTAGATCGGGAAATATCCCAGACCCAAGCAGATCGAACCAACTAGCGTGACCAACCTTGGGCCCCGCGCATCAGTTAATAGTCCCATAGGTATTCCCATGGCATACATGCCCAAGTTTCCCGCAACACCCTAGAGCTTGTTAGGACACGATCCCCACGACAGACACGCCACAACTCACTATCATGTTGCTCTCAGTTGATGAGAGCTTCATCCGTTGGGCAAATTGCGGCGCCCATGCGGAGTATGCATACTGTCAATGCTGTTAACCTTAATCATCCTCAAAGTGGATCAGCTCAGAGATATCACGCACATTCGTTCCGCATGACAGGGCGACCAGCGTCCCCGCAATGACGGAAATCGTCCGGGCAGTTTTATGGAGAGAGGTCATTATCTCGACTGAATGTCCTCCCAGTTGTTTCCCGGTGTGTACGCGTGGGCGGAATGTTGTGACGATTAGGCCCAGGATAGATAAGACGGTAACGGGAGGGACATCGGAGGAAGGAGAGAGAGAGAGCAAAGAAAGGAAAGAAAGGAGCGAATGGATATAGGAAGAAGTTGAACAGAAATCGGAGGCCAACTGGACTTTTCAGGAGCGTCGTAATCGGCCCTGAGGGGACCTGTTAGGTAAGGAATCTGGAGATCACCTGTGGACACTTGACCCGCGTCGGAACGTCAAAATGTGCTAAGTTATGGAGAACTCCAATATACTGGAATACAGTGGAATTGTAGCAATGGCAATGGGTAGAAAAGTAGAGGGGAGGTTAAGGTGGTCTAGATAACGGCTGCATATGCACAGCATCAATATCTCTACATATTGCGAATCCAGCCTAACCTATACGTCACCATACTAAGACTAACTTATCAACACCGATTCTCCGATAAGAGTGTCTCACATCTCTCTGGGCTGTCTGTGCCCGCAATTGTGCCTAATTGCTTTCTTTCCGAACATCCGTCGACCGGCCTGGTGCTTACATAACATGACGAAGGCGGCGGGTTCCTGACCAGGTGATCTCCAACTTCTCCTCTCCATACTCCACGCAGAGACCTGCACCTAGGGACACACACACAATCAACTATTCGACTGGGCTGGGATACCTCATATCTATAATCCCAATATGGGTGCCCTCCTTTCTTTGCCGCTCTTGGCCGTGCCGAGCGTTGGCACAGTACGTTGTCGCCTATCACCATAAACATGCAGCCTGACTGACTTGCTTTCCTCGCACAGCTCGTGACAATCGGAACTTCATGCTGTGGAGCAGCGACATGTTCGATGGTTTGCAGCGCCTGCGGAAAGTTCCAAAACAGGTACCTATCATCGGCTGCTTAGTGCGGAGAACCTCGGACTAACAAGGAAAACAGTATGGCGACGAGAATTGCCTATGCGTTCATCCTCTTGGTCAACTCAATAATCTCCTGGATTATGCTCACGCCATGGGCTCTGAAGAAATTGCAACACTTGACTCTCGACTACATGGAAATTCGATGCGACGGGAAGGAATGTCACGGCTGGGTCGCGGTTCATCGCATCAATTTTGCTCTCGGCCTCTTCCACTTGATCTTTGCCCTCTTGCTCCTCGGTGTCAAAACCTCGAAAGATAGCCGCGCTTCCCTTCAGAATGGATACTGGGGCCCGAAGATTATCCTCTGGATGGCATTCGTCGTCATGTCGTTCTTCATCCCCGAACCCTTCTTCTTCGTTTATGGCAATTACATTGCCTTCTTCTGTGCCATGCTCTTCTTGCTTTTGGGCTTGATCCTGCTGGTGGACCTCGCGCACTCCTGGGCCGAGTTGTGCCTACAGAAGATCGAGGACAGCGATTCTCGTGTGTGGCGTGGTTTGCTTATCGGTTCGACCCTCGGCATGTACTTGGCATCTTTCGTCATGACTATCCTGATGTACATCTTCTTCGCCAACAGCGGATGTTCTATGAATCAGGCTGCTATCACGGTAAGTACCCATTCTCAGACTCTTGACACAAAACTGACTCGCCCAGGTTAACTTGGTTGTCTTCTTGATCATCTCATTCATTTCCGTACAGCCGGCAGTTCAGGAGTCGAACTCTCGCGCGGGATTGGCCCAGGCCGCGATGGTTACTGTCTACTGTACTTATCTTACCATGTCTGCCGTCTCGATGGAGCCTGACGACAACAACTGCAACCCCCTGATCCGGTCTCGCGGAACCAGAACTGCCACTATTGTTCTCGGAGCTATCGTCACTATGGCGACAATTGCATACACCACTACTCGCGCTGCCACACAAGGTATTGCGCTGGGATCCAAGGGTGGCCACAACTACGTCCAGCTGGGTGCAGATGATAACGAGCATGGTTTGGTGACCCAACAACCAACCGCTCGTCGTGAGATGCGCGCCGAAGCCCTCCGGGCTGCCGTTGAGAGTGGTAGTCTGCCTGCCAGCGCCTTGGATGAGAGCGATGATGAGGACGAATATGAAACCGCCAAAGATGATGAGCGTGGCTCCACCCAGTACAATTACTCGCTCTTTCACATCATCTTCTTTCTGGCCACAACTTGGGTGGCCACATTGCTGGTCCAGGGACTGTCACTCGAGACTACCACCGATTTCGCTCCAGTAGGCCGCACATACTGGGCCAGCTGGGTGAAGATTGTCAGTTCCTGGGTCTGCTATGCTATCTACTTGTGGACCCTGGTTGCTCCTGTTCTTCTGCCGGATCGCTTCGGTGTTTACTAGGTCTGTTCGATATTGGAATGTTGTTGGTTCTGTTATATTTTAGTTCGTAGCTGCAATAGCAAATTTGTCAGTGACAAGCAAATATATTGAATGTAAATCCAAAGCATGGGACATAGGCCTCGAGTCCTCCGTCATATCTTATCAAGTCTTGGCAAACCCACGCGTAAAGTGCGACGCGCCCAACTTGCCCACCTCAGACACCATGGAATGAACATGGCGACAATCCAGGCCATCGAGGCTCGCTCGGTATGACTTCTGATACTGCTCTACCCGCAAATATCTAACCACCGCGTTTGCTAGGTCCACCAAATCCAATCCGGTCAGGTCATCGTTGACCTATGTTCCGTCGCCAAAGAGCTCATTGAAAACAGTCTCGATGCTGGCGCAACCTCGATAGGTGGGTGATTTCAACTGGGATGAAGTGGTCGAAGGTGTACTCTAACGCGTATGGGTTTGACAGAGGTCCGATTCAAGAATAATGGGTTGGATCTGATCGAGGTGCAAGACAACGGCAGCGGGATCGCACCGGAGAACTATGAGAACGTTGGTGAGTTTTTCCTTCACATTTGGAAACCTTCAGTCTCCAGCTAATCAGTCCTCTGTGTCCGATAGCCTTGAAACACTATACCTCCAAATTATCCACATACGATGACCTCGCCAGTCTAAACACCTTCGGTTTCCGAGGCGAGGCGATATCCTCCCTGTGCGCTCTGGCCGATTTCCACATCATTACCGCGCAAGCGCAGCAAGCCCCACGTGCAAATCGACTCGATTTCGAGCAGTCTGGGAAACTGCGCAAATCGCAGATCGTTGCTGGACAGAAAGGAACAACTGCGTCTGTTGAAGGGATCTTCAAGAGACTTCCAGTGCGCAGGCGGGAACTGGAGAAGAACATTAAGCGGGAATATGGGAAAGTGTTGAATTTGCTCCATGCTTATGCTTGCATTAGCACAGGGGTCAAATTCAGCGTCAAGAATACCGTTGGGAAGACGCGGAACGTGGTGGTCTTTTCTACAAATGGAAATGTCACCACGAGGGAGAATATCGCCAATGTCTACGGAGCAAAGACGCTTTCGGCGCTGATTCCGCTGGATCTGGACTTGGAGTACGAGCCTTCTACTGCTATGAAGCGGGCCGGAGATGAGGGGCTCAATCGAATCCACGTCCAGGGTCATATCTCACGTCCTGTCTTTGGCGAGGGACGGCAGACGCCTGATAGACAGATGTTCTTCGTGAATACGCGACCTTGTGGTCTGCCACAGATCGCCAAGGCCTTTAATGAAGTCTATAAGTCCTTCAATGTTTCCCAGTCGCCGTTTATCTTTGCTGATTTCAAGATGGATACCGATGCTTATGATGTCAATGTCTCGCCTGATAAGCGCATGATTCTGCTACATGATGCGGGAGCTTTGGTTGAGTCCCTTAAGACGTCTCTTGCTCAGTTGTTCGAGGCTGCGGATCAGACGGTGCCGCAGTCACAGGTCAAATCCAAGGCTTCAGCAAAGCAACAACCACTAGCGTCGCTTCCTGGTTTTGTCACTGCTCGGCAGCTCAGCCAAAGCGCTGAAGTTGATAGCCCGACCCGAGGTCGGAGCAGAGATAGTCCAGCGGAGACACCTGTTGCTAGTCAGCAGAGTGCAATCAAGCGAGTCATGAGCTCGCAAGAAGGCACGGAAAGCCCATCGCAAGCGACGCCATCTCCAGCTCCATCTTTGAAAACCCCTCGTGCTGCATCAAAGCCTTCGCCAGCTCCGACCCCAATCCCATCTGCAAATGAGCCAGAATCATCTGCCGCTGGAACCACGAATGACGAGCCTTCCTCCCAGGTGGTTGAGGAGCTGGGGGAACAAACACAAGAAGACCCATCCTCCCAACCCTCAGCGTTAGATGAGACTCCTAGTCGCACACGCGGCGACCCAAAGGAAGAGACACCAAATGTCATTCAGAATGCATTTGATAGAATGCGTCCTCGACGCATGCCTGCTGAAATGGCTACTATAACTATTGGCGATCGAACTGTCACTTCTATGGTTGGGAGTGGTTTACCGCAAAAGCGGGCATCTGTAGATCCGCCTCCTATGAGACAACCGCCGCGGCGAAAGAGGCTTGTTCATACGCCATCACGGCCTAACATTTTCGGCAAGCATATGCAGGCGTTTGCTGCGCCGGGGTCGCAGGTTGAGGAAGACGATGAGGTGGGAGGAGAAGAAGAAGAAGTAGAAGAAGCAGAGGAGGACGTGGAAGGAGAGGAGGAGGAGGAGGAGGAAGAAGAAGAAGAAGAAGAAGAAGAAGAAGAAGAAGAAGAGGCCGTGAGTGAGGCCGAGCCGATGGAGGAAGATGAAGAAGGCGAAAGCGAGATCGAGCAGACGCAAGAGACCCAAGATGGCGAAGAAGAACCCGATCCTTCACAGTCCCAGGACGCCGAGTATATTCCTGAAAATGCCCCACCTGAACCGGAAGGAATCGAAGGAAACGAGACGAAAGCCAACCAAGATGATACCGGCGCGGATGACAATCTCGATGAAGCTGAGAAGAAATCACGGGAAGAAGCAGTTGTTCACCGCTTGATCCATGAGGCTGAAGAGAATGCCGTGCTACCCCAGGAAAATAACGCCAGTCGTGCAAATAAGATGAACAAAGGCGCCGCGCATCGCGATGCCACTGTAAACCTCGTCAGCACAGTTGACGGATCCGTTTCAAGGCTTCAGTCCCAAATCGCTGCACTGCGCCAGGGTCTTCAAACACGTGCGAAGGCGACAGATCAAGAAGCTACCGACCTCGACGAGAAAACTGCCGAGGACCGACTGTCTCTTACTGTGAGCAAGAAAGACTTCGCCCAGATGCGCATCGTAGGCCAGTTCAACCTTGGATTTATCATCGCCGTCCGTCCAGCAAAAGACGGCGAAGAGCTCTTCATCATCGACCAACACGCCTCAGACGAAAAGTTCAACTTTGAACGACTGCAATCTGAAACCGTTGTGCAAAACCAGCGCCTCGTTCGCCCGCAGCGCCTCGACCTCACCGCCGTCGAGGAAGAGGTTGTCCTCGAAAATCGAGCCGCGCTAGAGAAGAACGGGTTCGTGGTGACAGTCGACGAAAGCGGCGACGAGCCCATCGGCCGTCGATGCCAATTAGTCTCGTTACCACTCAGCAAGGAAATTGTCTTCGGTGTTCGTGACCTGGAAGAGCTCATCGTTCTACTGTCCGAGTCTGTCTCGCATGAAGTCTCCGTCCCGCGGCCGAGCAAAGTGCGCAAAATGTTTGCTATGCGTGCTTGTCGGTCGAGTATTATGATCGGTAAAACTTTGACGGGGCGACAGATGGAACGCGTGGTGAGGAATATGGGAACCATTGATAAACCGTGGAATTGTCCGCATGGAAGGCCGACTATGCGGCATTTGATGAGTCTCGGACAGTGGGATGAATGGGATGAGTTTGAGAATGAGAATGAGAATGAAGGTTTGGATCCTTGGAGGCAGTACTTGGAGGCTGAAGGGGAAGAGGAGGGGGTCGAGGTGGATGAAGAGGGAGAGGAAGAATAAATAAAACAACGATACCCGATACTGTGATATAAATGTATAGTACGAACAGTCGACGTCCAACACAAATGAACAGAGATCAAAAACAATCACCACCATCGCAACCAGCTTCTCGCCGGCTGCTCCACCTTCTTCACATTCCCATTCCCCTTAACAACCCCATCACCATCAACATGTCCATCCACCTCGCCGTCCCCATCCCCATCCCCATCAACATCCCAACCATCCTCAGACCCACGATCCAACCCCGAATCACTCTCACTCCCACCCCTCCCTTCAACAGAATCCATCATATCCTCCAGCGCCAGCAAATCCCGCTCAATAAGCTCCGCCCAATTCTGCACATCCCCAATCTCCTTCAACCCATCCCGCGTCTCATCCGCAAACCCAAGCCATTGCTGATTCTGCCGCGCCAGCCGCTGCGTATTCTCTGCTAGTTCGGCTTCTTGTCTTTCCAGTGCTGCGGCGTTGGATTGGATATTTGCTGCTCGGTCACGGAGGGGCGCTTCTAGGTTTGTGCCCACTGAGTGCAGGGTTGCTGTGAAGGCTGCTAGGGCTTCTTTCTGGTGTTGGTCTGTTGTTGGGCTGGGGGTTGAGTCTGTTGGATTTTGGGGCTGGGGTGGTGGTGTGTGGACTTGGGGTTGGGCTTGGTCCGCCATTTGCTTTGTGGTTTTATTTATGGGGATGGTATACTATTGGTTTGTGTATGTGTTGGTGGTTTGTAGAGTACGAACGTTGAAGATTAAGCTTGAACCCCACCTGCCACATGGCTGGTCTGTGCGTTCCCCGCTTTAATCCGTGGGTGTGGCTTGTTTATACTACGGGAGGTATATGGGGATGGAGTAGATCTGAGGCTGGAGGGCTGAGTCTCGTGGACGTTGTCTTAGGGATATCTTCAAGTCCGGGAGATACACGGCAAGAGATAACACGGGGACAAGGCCTCATCAAGTACACGAGCAGTGGACTGCATCGCAGACCAGACAGACATAAGACGTGATTACCAGCTTAAGCCATGGACAGCTTTACACGAAAGGGGATAGGGACCCATCCGAACATTCAGAATTCAATCAAGAAACATACTACCCAACCCTCGTGAAGTTTACTTGAACAGGAATTTATTGGTATTGACACCATGCATGAATTAAAAAGAAAATGTATTCTAGAGGCAAGAATGGTCAAGAAGATCAAGATTGCAAGCACAATCAGCCCACAAGACCAAATTACACAGCAGAGAAAAGTTGATCTCCGATCTGCTAACCCGCACAGGACTCCAAAGATGAGAGCTCTGAAGCCCGTGCAAGCAGTTCGGTTGCTGTCTCTCCCCCGTGCCCACAGAGATCAGCTGCCCGTCGAATCCAACACCACGACCCATCGCTTTTACAATCAACGTACCTCAGCGAAGCACACTGGACTTTGTATAGGGGGGAGTTTCCCCCCCCCCCCTACCCACAATTTCTGCCCATACACCACTGGCAAGCCATATTCGTGGGCGTGTCGACCGTCATGAGTACTTAGCTTTTTCGCGTTCCCCTTGTGTTGAAGCCAGGGAAGCGTAGTCAGCCTTGTGTCAGTGGCCGCAGTAAAAAGAAACGCGTGCAAGTAGTCCCGGCCCGAGACTGAAGGAAGATGGTTAGCTTGGAGGAGGGTAGAGGGGGGGATGGGAGGGAGGACTCACGTTGAGCTCGAACAAGGACGGATGGATGAGAAGGAGAAAAGAAAGAAAAAGAGAAATGGTAGAAGACTGGGTATATATAGGCTGGGAGATTTGCAGAATTTCCCGATTTGGAAGGGTCGATAGAGACAGGCAACCACCTGCTGCGCAGGTAGGAACGTGACTACACCCGGGGGATCTGAGACGGACATTGTCTTGTTCACTAGCTGGATTTCTGGTTTCACGGTGGAATAAAACTGGGACTGAACCTGAAGCTGAAACTAATGATCTATTGGTGTAGGTATGTATTCCTGCAAAGCCGATTGAAGGGAAGAGGCCACTTCACTCTTGCAACGCATTGGAACTCTTTGATATCTGGCCAGCTACTCGAGGATCGAAGAACTCTCAACCTTCGATCCTGCTTATTAGGACCAACAAGCAGGACACGACATCCAGCTCTGAGTTGGTGTCTCTGAGCTGGGATGTCGAGTGGCTGCCTGGAAGCTCTCCCTGAGATCAAGTTCACACATCCCACAATCCAACCTTCCCACAGATTCCGGCAAATCCCACAGGTCCCGACAAATCCCACGTGCTAACACGCGAGCGTCATGTCTGATAATGTAAAAGGGAGGTCAGCATATTCCAAGCTTCGAAACACCAAGAGGGGGAAGAGGGGACGGGGGTGGCTCACAATGACGATGCATATGTGAGAAGAAGAGGAAGAGAACCGGTTGACGAAAAAGCGAAGTGTTTTATAGTGGCCTCTCGAAATGCTGTCCACCTCAGACTCGCCATCAAAGCAAAGGTCATGTGCGGGCATTTGCCTGAACAGCTTCCTTACAGGCTACAATCTGCTAAAGTGTCTTGTTCACCACGTAGGGTAGCTACGTGGAAGTGTGGGGTTTTAATCTGGATGTCATACTAGGAATACTCGGGGAATCTCGACGTTGTTGGTCATAGTGCATTTGTCATTTCATGGTCTGTCGTTAATCTAGCAATGTATAACTAGGTAATACAAAATGCAACTTTACACATCATCGTGCCGACTTCCTTTTGTTGGCAACATGCTTATATACCATGAAACCCCAGATTGGTCAAGAACCGGAGCTCGCTACCGTGTGTGGTTCATTGTCAATGTGGCGCCATTCCGCCTCCAACAGGACAGAGCACCACTGAGCAGCTTTTGATCCTGCTGTGAGCTTCGCAAACAGGGATTGTGTCAAATTCCTTAGACATTTCGGCGCTTCCGGCTCCTCTGGGGTTCTGGTAGGTATCTCGCTACCACTGAGAACCCAGCAGCAAGTAGGAGCATCAGAACCCAGATCGCATAGCCGCCCACGGCTTGGGTCCTCGCGCCTATCGCAAAGAGAGTGGTGAAGAGAGCCGGACAGAAGGCCCTTAGACCACTGACGCTAGTCAGGGCCAGCGCGTTCAGCGTACCCAAGACTTTCGGTGAGGGTGCGCTATCGTTGACAGCGAGTTGGATTGCTGTAAAGCTCATGCTGACTCCGCAACCGATGACCAACACCACCGGCACAAAGATCCAGAAAGCCTTGATAGATACCTCGGTCCCTATCCGGAGGAAGACATTGCCTAATGGACAGCATAGGAAGAAGAACGGATAGGCTGTGGCGCAGAGGCGTATCACCCCGTTTGTCCCGATCTTTCGCTGCAGTGGTGGGAAGACTAGGAGGAGCCATGCAGCTTGTGCGGCGCCGCTCAGACCCATCATAAGGGAGATTTGCAGTGGCGTGAAGCCGTATCCTCCTAGGCTCGCGGGCGTAAACCAGAAGACCGGAATAATGGCTGTGTATGCAAACGCGAGGACCATAATGTGGCCATAGGTGTAAATTACCATACCCACCCCTGGCGATTTCAAAAGCTGCCATGCAGAGAGGTCGCCTCTGTGGACCGGCGCGTCGGAGGTTGCCTCCTCCTCGTCACCGTCCGCGGCATCAGTGTCTTTCTCTAACGTCTCTTTAACAAAGCAGGCACTAGATATAGCAGCGGTTGCTCCCACTAGTGCCACCACAAGACTCGATAACGCGTAGGGATACTTTTGGAAGAACCGGACGGCTCCAAAAATACCCGGGTACTGACGCACCGGATCAGCAAGGGAACCACCTAGCAGAGGCCCTAGGAAAATACCTAAGTTTCCACTGAAGGCAAACCAGCTGAAAGCCTGTGCTTGGGTCTTTGGCGTGCTGTGCTCGGCGATCATGGTGCGGATAGTGACGATGGTGCCGGCGAAGACACCGGCGAGGCACCTAAACAGGGCCATCTGGGGAATAGTCTTTGCCATACCGAAAAGCCCTGTAGCGAAGGTCACACCGAATAACGAGAAAACTAGGACTGGCTTGCGCCCGAAGCGATCGGCTGCATGGCCCCAGAATATCATCACAATGGCTTGCGTGAGGGAGAATAATGACTCAATAAGGCCGCTGTAGAAGCCGACATCTGTGTCTGCAATGCCTCCGTTGCTTTGGATCATTTGGTTGACATATGGGAAGATAGAGAAGAAGGCCAATGGCTCTATTATTCGGGCGTAGCAGAGGAGCAGGATTTGGACCTTTGGCAAAGGCTTTCCCTCATCATATTCGTCGGTGCTGTCGCCGTCCGGCGATGGCGAGTGGTCCCGAGTGTCAGAACCCAAGAGGGCTGTAGTCTCGTCTACATGATTGTTCTCGGCAATGCCATTAGCCGAGTTAGGTCGGGAAGCAATACGTTCCCGGCCAGGGTCGCGTCTATCGGTCCCTGGCATTGGCAATGAGGTGTAAATCAAGGATCCCACAGGTTGGAGGATATGTGTTATGACATGTTCGGTCCCCTTGAAGTTGATAGGAAAAGTGGGTCCTGATATCACGTGTGATCTATGAGCATAGAATGCATAAGTTATCCTCGCATCATCATGCGCACTAGTTAAATGTGCATGCTTGATAACAAGGTATAAATAAGTATCATTTCCACTGCCTTTCCATGTAGATGCTAAAATAGGGTTAGAGTCATGGAGAGAGGTAAAGAAGATGACCCCTGGCTCGCTATGGTATCTCACGAGATAAAGTGTATGAGCAAGAATTCCAGAGTATACAAGGTATATGCTGACCAGGGAGTCCCAAGAGCTCCAGATATCAAACGCTTAATACGTTACAAGGTCTCGTCAGCCTGGGGGAATGAACCCAGCCGAGACAGGGGCCTCGGTTGACTATCCGATTCCGTGCACGATCGACATCACATTGGGCGCCATCTCGCGCCGATCGCGTATCCAGCTGGGGAATACGGACCCTCTGCATGTTACGCGAGCTCCAAAATTGGTGCAACGCCAGACCTCTACGACGCTTGATTGGCTAGTCTTCCTGGCCAGCTTCCAGTGTACTTCTTGATTTAAGCCACTCTCCCAAGCCAATGGCAAATAGTGATATTAACTCAAAGCTGGAGGTAATACAAGCCTTTTGCATTTTTAAGACATCGCAGACCAAGGTTCGTTCATTTACTTTACGTTCCCTTGAGGTTCTGCTCTAACTGCATATCTGTATGTCTTTGTCCTCATGTGAAGTGTGTGGGTCTGGTCGACAATATGGGGTATCACAAACCCCCAAGCGCCCCTAATTTAAACTGAAGATCAACCCCCAACAAATCTTTTCGCCTTTGATATGATACCACCTTCGCATGCAATATCATGGGAAGAGGACATACTGCCATCAGCTTACCAGATCTCTACCCGTGATTCCGGGTCACAGACAAGATAGATAGGGGCAAAACAACTTTGCGTCCATCATGTCAAAATCAGATACGTCGGGTATCTCCGATGCAAACGAAGCGGCTGCAGCAACAACGAAGCCGACATTATGGCAACGCTTCAAGACGCACATGAAAAGATTCTGGTGGGCGTATTTAATCGGGTTTTGCGGTGCTGTTCTAGTAATCATCCTTCCTATGTAAGCACACCAACGAAAATTCTAAACTCCATGCTTATGCTGATATTTGCAGCTTCTATGTTGGAATCCCCAATTTCGCGAATGATTATATCAACAAATACGAGTATGACTATGACGGCCTCCGAATCACGAATCCTCGCCCCACTGCCTTCCATGTTAAGCAATCGAAAAGTCTTAAAATGGGAGGTGGATTCAGCGGCAGCGGTCATTTAACCGCGTTCAACGCCACTATCCGAGTGAAAGACACGGATGAGATCTTCGCGGTATTCCCGGTGCCAGAAATTCAGTTTAGCAATGGCGCCAGCTTTGATATTGATCACGATTTGGACCTTTCTTGTGTTGACTGCTTGTCATCGTTGGCTACTTCAGCCGCATCTAGCAAGAACTCTTCTCTATTGGTTGAAGGTACACCGGATCTTAAGTTTGAGGGTCTCCCGACTGCTCATTTGAATATCCATAAGATCATGAATGTGAATGGTGAGTGACTACTGTCTATTGTGTGTCTGAAAAGCGAATTAACGAGTTTGGATCAGGTTATAATGTTACAGGTGAGAACTGATAGATTCATAAATACAGCTTTTAGGTGGCCTTATTTTCTAACATTCACAGAATTCATTAACACCGATGGAGCTTTCAATGTTACCAGGGTGGATATCCTAGATGAGCCAGTGGATGGATTTAACTTCAATGCTACCATTACTGTTCGCAATCCGAGCCCCTACATCGTGGAACTGGTATGTCCTTTTCTTCCCACTGACAACACAATGACCATAATTAACACATTCAGGGGCATGTGACATTCAATCTATCTATGGGTGGCTCAGACTTGGGATATGTCGATCTTCCCTATCTATTTTTGGACAAAAACGGCACTACTACCGAAGTTTTTGGCTCGATCGATAAGTCAATGTTAATCCACGAGGCCGTGTTGGGTGATGACGACTTTGGTGTTGTGACCATCGATGTCAAGGGAAACAGCTGCGATTTCAACGGAAAGGATATTCCATATTTTGCTGCAGCAATCAAAGCTGTTTCTGCGTCTGCGAGGCTCGACCTGCTGAAATACGCATCAAGTCTGTTCTCTGACTCATATGGTTGATGTATCCGTGGACCTGTTTAGGGGGTTCACCAGATAGAGGTCTATTTTTCGATGCTATATAGACACAGTTTAATCTTCAACATCTCCAGATAGAGTCAACTAGGTAGTTGCTATAGGTTACAGACCTCTTCGGCTGGTTATAAGGCTTGATGATTTTCGACATTTTAGCCAAGATGGACAACAATTAAAGTTAATTCATCTAATGACCGACTACAATTTTGACAGAGGTGATCAGACCCACTGTCAAGTATCTTTAACTATGTAGTGGTATTGCAATATTTGAAGGCAGGCAAGATAACAACTACGGGCTTCGGCAGGTAATTAGATGATACTGAACCTGGATGGCTTAACTAGATTATTAATTACGGTGTGGATAAATTGAAAAGCAGTAGATGTTTCTCCTTATTCAATAATTACTTTTGAAGGGACGAATTATAACATGGAATGCCATATCTAGGAAATACTAACGAAAGTATCCAAGAAATAAAAAAGACGACCTTCAGAATAACGAAATGCGAGTATGCAATGACTGGATCCTAAAATTTGGTCAGTAAGTTTCGCCGAGACAGCCAGTTCCAAAATTCTCTGTACTTCCAGTGTCACGGTGTCCCTTCCAGTGGTTATGAGTTCCTTCGGGCATCAGGCCCTTATCCTCAAGCCTAAGCATCAGGTACAAAACCCACCACCGACAGCTCTCTTTTGGAAGAGCCAAAGCTTCTTGGACGACTGTGATGCCCTCAGATACTGGGATTCGGCAGAGAAAGTCTTTAGTGTCGACACCCCAACTATTGAATCTCTTTCCTTCTTCAATCTCGGTCCTACGATCGCCTCGAGAACCTTCACAGTGAAGCCACGTGCATCGTTCCGCGCCTGGGTGGGCCATCATCATCATCCAGTGGATAGGGTCTTCTGGGTCTTGTGGCTTGCAAATTGCCACGTAGAGGTCAAGATGGTGCCGGTCGATGGACGCCATGTCTATCTGTGATCTACAGAAAGTAAACTAGATAGGGTGAAGTGATCTATGCGATGATTGTTTTGAGGATTTTGTGGAATTAATTTATGCAGCCGACTTGGTCGCTTTTATACCTAGGAAATCCCCAGTTGACCACTCTCAAAGAGAACAAAAGACGTGAACAATTGCTTTTACAAGTCGTCCTCGCGAAAGATCATGGGCTAAGCCGAGTCAAAAAATGGTAATCTGATTGAAAGAGGTGCAAAAGATAAACAATGGGCTTTGTGACCATCATTGTTTCTTTCCCCCCAACAAAATAGTATGACTTCATGGGCAGAGTCAGCGACGACTTTAAATTCTGAAAATGCCACTACTTCTTACCACCAGGTTAAGTCATTTCATTGTACCCACCCTTTCTAGTACTCTCCCGACATCATGCCAACCAAACTAACAAAAGCAACTGGCGCTGAGCTGACCTATCTCACACACCATAGTGCATTTCAGGAATGTCTACATAGAGAACTTAAAACTATCAGAGAACGGAAGGTAACCACCCCAGAGCGTCGCAAGGTAGCTATTGAAGTAATAGCTAACCTCATTGATGATGTACCCACGTTACTCAAGAATGGACTTGACATGCACAAGAAGATGCCGCAGTGTCTTACGGTAACAGAGAAGCCTGAAGGATGCTTTGCCATTTCTAAATCTATCTTCGAGAAGAAGCTAAAGTCTTTGGTTGATATTCTGATTGCTATCAGCCACGACCTCCGCACGGATCAGGACGGGAACGGTGGAATGCATAACCACTACAAAGCCTTGAAAAGGACCAAAGAACTGGTTTAGACAGATTTATTTAATTGATTTGTTTTGTTTTCACCACCGATATAATATTGTAGTAGCATAAGTAGTCAAAATAGCGTAACATCAATAGATTGCCAACAACGCTAGGGGCGGTAAATTGGGCGCTGAAAAGGCCTAGTTTTAACGCCATTCTGAGCGTCCTATTTACCAGATTCAACAAAACAGCACGCCACTTGTTTCGGCCCATTTTTACTATGTGCTCACTGAGTGCTCAGTGATCAAAAGAAGGGAAGCGGATTTGCAAACCGGAATTTTGGTTGCACCCTTCGCGGCGATAGTTCAGCATCGATGCATCCATTTTCGAGAAAGTAGGCACGTCGTAAAGTAGTCTCTGATAGCGCGCTACAAGGTTTCGAAATAACTCGTACGGCGGGCAAGGCGACTGATTCATTTCGGGGAACAGACTAGGGGCATATACGTATATCCATGCTAGCTCTCTGTTAGTGCGGGTCTCCCTTATGAGTTCGAATTAGCGTGCTTATTGTATTTTGACCCACAATGTGGGTACGAGATCTCTCAGGGGTAGAAGCTTGAGAAAGATCAAAACCAATATGATATGTCACGCCCAGAAACAATGTGGCGCAGCTTGATAGAGACAGATCATAATTCAAACAACTGTTAGGTGGCTGTCGCTACAGTAGTTTTCCGGATCCTATGGCCTGTAAGGTTTCGAACCAGCTGTTAAGAGACTACCTTTGCCTGTTCTGGCACGTTTTATTTAGGGAATTGATACTGCGCATGAAACCTCCGGTGTCTTGGCAATATGCAGTTGATCACTTGGACAACTGCTCAGATGAGAGAGCTACCCATACTTGTGATCGGTTTGTGAGTATCCGAGAACAATGATATACGCCATTTGCCTAGAAAGATTTAGGCACGGAACATGTAAGAGAGCTGAAGCTATACAATCGACCTCGGGGATACCTTTGCTCTGCGGCGCAGCATTCAATAGCTGTGCTGTGACATGGAGCTAATGCACGAGCTGTGCTTTACAGGGATCCTAAAATGGGGGCCAAAATCGAGTCTTTAAGATCACTGAGAGCTGTAGACTTGCTGCACAAATTTATCATTTCTTGTTACAAACCACTCCACATCCGGTACAAAATTACGCTTGACCACAATGTCGCCCTCTAGTGAAGAATACGCCTTGAACCAACTGCAGGTGGAGCAGTCGAAACTACTGGACAAGATTGACGAATTACGCAGTCTTGGTATCGGTGGCCTTGTGGAATTACCTCAACTCATTGTCTGTGGCAACCAGTCGAGTGGAAAGAGTTCCGTGCTCGAAGCCATCTCCAGAGTGCGTTTTCCAGCCAAGGGAAATGTCTGCACCCGATTCGCGACTGAGGTCATTCTTCGTCGCAGTCCACAAGCGCGAGTCAAAGTATCTATCGAACCGGGCGCTTCACGCACCGACAATTACGAGCGAGCGAAGCTCCAAGCCTTCACATCCGAGTCATTTTCCACCAGCGACGACCTTCCCAAATTGATCAAGGAGGCTGAAGAATGCATGAGAATTGGTGGTGGCCAACTCTCCACAGCAGGCTTCAGCGATGATGTTCTCAAGGTCGAGATCTCTGGTCCCGAAAAGCCAGAGCTCAGTCTGGTTGACCTTCCGGGGCTCTACAGCTCCGTCAGCGATGAGCAGAACGAAGAAGGAATGATGTTAGTTGAACAGTTGACGAAGAAGTACATGGAGAATAAGCGGAGCATCATCCTCGCCGTCATCAGCACGAAACTTGACTATCATCACCAGCGAGTCTTGAACCTGGCAGGGAAGATTGACCCAGGGCACGAGAGGACACTTGGAATAGTGACCCAGCCCGATACTCTCTCACCCGGCTCGGAAGAGGAAGAAACCTATCTGAAGTTCATCAAAAATGAAAAGATCAATCTACAGCTCGGATGGCATGTACTTTGCAATCGGAAGTTTGAGACGCGTAACACTTCGGATGATGAGCGAGACCGAAACGAACGCGAAGTTTTCGAACAGGGACGATGGGCTTCACTTTCTCGTGAGATTGTGGGGATTGACAGCCTAAGACGTCGGCTGAGCAATATTCTGCTGAAGCACGTTCGCCGCAGCCTTCCAGATCTGATCTCGGACATCCAAAACAAGATCTCGGAACACGAACAAAAGCTAGCAAAGATGGGCACCGCACGGTCAACCATTAAAGATCAGCGAGGATTTCTTGTCGACATAAGCAGCAAGTTTGGTCGCATTACAGACCAGGCTTTGAACGGAATGTATTCCGATGATTTCTTCGGCGGATTTGACGACCAGATAGCGAACAAGGAGGATACCCACGATTTCCGTCGATTGCGGGCAGTCATTCGTGAGATGAATGAGAACTTCGCAGAAGCCATCAGTATTCGTGGCTGCCGAAGAATCATCCGTCTCACTGATTCAAGTCTCCCTTTTTCAACCCTTCAGCAGCAAAGGTCTAAACCTTATATGAATGACTGGGTACCTGAATACGTCAACGAAGTGACCCTTCAAGAGGAAATAAAAGAACAGGCAGTCAAATACCGCGGTATAGAGCTTCCAGGAAACGCAAATCAAATGCTCGTGGGGAGTTTGTTCCGTGATCAGTCCGAACCCTGGGAAAACCTTGCTGAGGCTCATTTAAAGGATGTCTGGTCCTCGGTCAATTATTTTGTTGGCCTTGTCCTCCAGCATCTAACGGATCGACACACTTACCCTTTACTGATGCGAGACCTTATCATCCCCGAGATGGACCGTTTGAGGGCCCGTCTGTTGGAGAAGCTTCAAGAATTGACCTCCTACAGGAAATGTGGTCATCCTCTGCCCCTGGGAAAAAACTTCCTTTCCACGATCCAGGAGTCGCGCAAAAGCGCCAACTCGTCGTGTTGAAAAAGGAGCTTGGGCTTGTTGCATCCTCATTCTTCCCGAACGTAGATAATTCCAATAAAACCTTCAGTGCCAGTGATCTTGACCGAGCAGCTTCTCAGTTGCAGTCATCCAGTGACCAGTTTGCAGCGGCCGAAATCATTGACCAGATGCAGGCCTACTACGATGTGAGTATGTTACATTGACAAAGTACTGAGCAATCTCTCACAAGCCCTTTCTAGACCGCCATCGTGACTTTCATCGACAACATCGCGATACTTGCAATTGAGAACTGCTTGCTCCGACCCCTCGAGCACATTTTCACTGGCCAGTCTATCATTGGCATGGAGGATGCTCAGATCCGGAGCATTGCAGCAGAGCCGCCCAATGTCGAACTTGATCGTAAACGTCTAAACGAAGAACTGAACAAGCTGAATGCAGGCAGGCAAACCCTCAGCGCCTTCAGTACGGACGGACCCTCGATGCCATCTCGGCCTGTCTTTGGTATGTTTACCCAACGTGAGATTTATTGCCTCTCAATCTAACAGAACTTATCTATTAGTCTCACAGTTAGCGTCTCGGTCGGATACATCTAGCCCCTCACGTCAGGCGAACAGGCCTCAACAAGGTGAGTACTCGGGGCATTCGACGTAGTGTCTCCATTTCCAACTTTGAGCCAGAGCCTTACCAATAACTGAAAATACTAGGGGCTTCAAGTAACGGTCGTTCATATAGCGGACTTGCCGCTGACTCTAGCCGACAACAAACGCAAAATAACCCTAGCTCAGGTCCCTTCCAACAAACTTCAACGGCCACCAGTAAGCAAACAATGGAATTAGAGCAACAGAGAACTTGCTGACCCGGCAATAGACAAGCCACCTCCGAGTCCTTTTGCAGCTCCTAGTCCATCACCGTTCGGAGGAAGCTCGAATGCCAAGGAAAACCCTTTTTCTTCGAAAGCATTCGGTTCTGGAAAAGGCAGTAGTGGAAGTACTCAACCGACGCCTAACCATGGAGTTTTTAACACGTCACTGAGTGGGTTTGCAAGCCCATTCCCTGCCAGGAATGGATCCAATGGCGGACCCTTTGGCCAGGGATCCAAATCATTTGGAAGCACTTCCAGCTCAAGTGGTTAGGACACCGTGCAATATTAGCTTCGATATCACTCTCTGGAAGGCTACTGTCTGGCAGTAAGGGGGGTGGGTTTGCAACTGAGTGTAGAGTTGCCGTTGTTTTGCACTCGATCTGAACATCATCCCATTGTATATCAACTGCCAAAGCGTCCCTGTGTTGGAGAGCTGCACAGGTGCCGAAGCTGCAAAGCAGCAACTTGGAACTGGGAAATCATCTCGAATGGGACTTTGCTTTTACTCTTTCATAATTAACTTCTGGAACTCCCTGCTTTATGTTTCCCTCTGCTCGTGCCCCTATCTGCACATCGCCAGTTCACTCAGTGGTTAGATCCCTAAATTCTATACGACAGTGATCGAATGTTACTTCACTATAAAATGTCCCAACCATACGAGAGGCTTGAATGCAAGATCGTCAGTGCTCTGGCTTTCCATACATTGACAGGTCCAATACCGAAGCCAACATCGGCACGGGATCTCATACTATCCGACATTGAGGGCTTAAAGTAGCGCCGGTGGCGCTCTTCAGACTAGTCCGAAGCCCCCTGAAGCTTGTTTTCCACCACCCGCAGACCCCAGAGTATACATTCGTCAGCATGTGGGGTCTTCCCGCGGGGAAACCTTGGAAGAGTTCTGTGTTACCCCAGTCTATTTCGGGCTATTATCAACCGAGCCGTCGATCTCGGGCCAAAAGAGAGCGAGGTACCATGGGGTGAAATCATTGAAATGGTGGATAACTCCTGGGGCCCCGGATTCCACAGTCTCTCCAGTTTTCCTATCGATCCAACAATATGGGCCAACTACGAGGAAGGTATCTACACTGGGCGGTGACAGCTGCAAGCTGTCAAGCCTTTCTTTTACTGGGCTATGACCAGGGCGTGATGAGCGGGCTGGTCGGTGCAGACAACCAGTTTGGGAAAACGTTCAACAACCCCGATAGCACGATGCAAGGGCTATTGACTTCGATCTACGATATTGGCTGTGCAGTGGGCTGTCTCCTGAGTCTGGTCATCGGTCACCGTTTCGGTCGACGCAAGATGATCATGGCAGGTGGCTCGATCATGATTATTGGCACAATCATCCTCGGCAGCTCTTATACTAGAGCCCAGTTCCTCGTCGGTCGTATTGTGACCGGGCTTGGGAACGGTATTAACAGCAGTACCGTTCCAGCCTATCAGTCCGAACTAGCCCGCCCGGAACTTCGCGGTATGCTTCTATCTGCACAGGGCACCGTGACTATCCTCGGTCTGTGTATTGCATACTGGTTAGACTATGGACTCAGCTTCGTGGATACACCCGTCCAGTGGCGGTTCCCGATCAGCTTCCAGGCATTCTTTGCTGTCTTTTTGGTTTTGCAGATGATTCCGCTTCCTGACTCGCCCCGTTGGCTCTGTGAGCAAGATCGGAGTGATGAGGCTGCCTCTGTTCTGGCTCGTCTTCAGGTGGCTCAACCTGCCAACGAGTCTCATCCTGATGTCGTTCATCTACGTCGTCAGATTGAGTCGTCTATTGAGATTGAGTCTGCTGGTGGTCCTTTCAGATATAAGGAGCTTTGGTCGGGTGGTCAGATGGGCAACCTTCGTCGGATGATTCTGGCTGCTGTTGTCAATATCCAGCAGCAATTTACAGGTACACAACCATTCTTCATGGGTTGATGATCAATTTACTAAGTATTCTTAGGTTCTAACATGATCAACTACTATGCACCTATTGTCTACCAGGTACGTCCCTGTCAAAATATATATTTTATGGCTGTCTAACGTTGATCCTATGATAGAACGCCATGCATTTATCCCGCAACCTATCCCTGATCCTCGGCGGCTGTACCTCTCTCGCATACCTCGTTGGATCAATAATTCCTCTATGGAGCATGGACAAGTTCGGTCGACGAGCATCACTCATGTTTTCCGCTGCCGGTCTCTGCTTCTGCTTCGTCATGGCTGCCATTCTCCTATCGATTGGTACAACATCGTGTGCTTATGCAGCGACCGTGTTTGTGTTTATATTCCAATTGTTCCTTGGGATTGGATATTTGCCAGTTCCATGGTAGGTTATTTATTCTTCGTTCCTGTAAAGTTTGTCACTGACAGAATTATAGGTTCTATCCTTCTGAAATCTCAACTACACGGATTCGAGCACGAGCTCAAGCATTCGGTGGTTTCGTCAACTGGATTTGCGTTTGTGAGTCTGATTATTGGTTGCCCCGTTGAAATTATGTGTCAGCACTGACCCTCACAGTTATCGTCGTTCAAGTAACGCCGACAGCTATAGATAATATCGGATGGAGAACATTCATCATCTTTGCCTGTTTCTGTTTTGCATGGGTAAGTCAACCATCACCTGTGCTCATTTCAATTAATGGGCTAAACTAATATGGTCTAGATTCCTATGGTCTATTTCTTCTTCCCCGAGACCAAAGGTTTGGAGCTCGAGGATCTGGATCACCTCTTCGAGAAAGGTGGTATTACCGGCGGTGTTTTCGAGACTAGAGGATTCCCCGTTCATCCTGGGTATCACCGGACTATGAATGCCGAGAGGATTGAGAAGCAAGCTGAGACTGAAACTATTCACGTGGAGGTTTAAACAAGGAAGCAGGGGTCAACAAATTGAAGGAATATCATCTTGTAGCCTGGCGGTAATCCATGAAACTTCGTCCGCATTTGTTGAAAAACTTAGTTAAGTATAATAAAAATACAATTCCCCGAAATGCACTCAGGCGTGAATTCCACGCAGGTGACTCCGCAAATGTCTCTTCAGCTTCCGGGTAGAAGTCTTCTCGGTGCTTTCATACACACTCAGTGCAGCATTACCACCACAAATCTGCGAGTCATCGCCATTGCACTTCATATCACACTTCTCCGCCCCAATCTTGACACTTCCCTCCAGTTTGTCGCCACAGAAACATTCACCCGCATACTCAGTTCCTGCCAAACTGAAGCCTGCTTTGGCGCAGTAATCTGTGCAGGCTGTTGAAGTGACTTTGCCGACACCGAGGTTTGCGAATTGGATTCCTGTCAGGGCGCGAGCAGATACATTATCCGAGTAACAGCCAAGGTATGACCAGCCGGAGATGGAGCTGTCTGTTCCGGTCGTGTCTGAAGGTGCAGCAGTTTTGACATTGGACTGGGCAGTAGTGGTGACCGAGACACTCTCTCCACTAGACGAAGGCACATCCTCTGCGCCCTGCCCCCACCCAGTCGGGGGATTATCACCAGGCAACTTATCCAGAACACCAAAGATGGGTTCGATAATCTGATTGGCGATATTGCAACTGGTCGACGCATCATTGATAAATCCAGCATCAGCACACTTATCCATACCCAGGTCACCAGCATCGCAGTTATCAATGATCCTCTGCAGAACAGCCTCATCCCAACCGGAAATCTAAGCATTTACAGATTAGCCCACATCCTCTCGTATGCGCTGAAATAAAACTCACGAAATCCCCATGAAGCGAATACCCAGTCCGATCCCCATTGCTCAAGATAAAAGGTTGCTCTCCCATCCCCGGCGTCCACAACTCCTCGAAAAGCGGCGTATTCCAATAAACCTCGTAAAAGATATGAGGAACATGAACCCACCCGTCCGGACAATTCGTCTTGCCCCCCGTAGTCCCCTTACTACTAGGCCAAGCCATATTATTCTTATAATCACCCAGCCCAGCAGCGGGATTATAACAAGACGGGAAATGGATATCGGCACGCAGAGGCGACGCATACCCATCACAATTAACATGCGGGAATCCAGCGCCCGCGCCTGCGTTATTCGGGTCTTGGATTCCGACGCCGTGGAGTCCATCCGAGGATGCTGGGTAGGAGGGTGGGTTGTAGGATGTGCGCGGACAAGTCCATTGAACGGGTTGGATCACTCCTGCGTTTGTGTCGAGGACGTTGGATGCACCGCCTGCTGGGGGTGTGCGTAGACTTTTGTCGCCGCTGAGCATGCGTAGACCGACTGGGAAGGGTTTTATTTCGTCATCTGTTGCTTCGAAGAAGTAGTAGACGTTCATGTAGAACATTGGGACGGAGAGGAAACTTCCGTTACTGGCTTGGAAGTAGAGGGACGGTGTCCAGTAGTTGCTTTTGTCGGCGTCTACGAGGGACGAGGTGCAGTTTGAGGATGGGAGAGCACCGTCCGTCATTGTTAGGTTGAAGTTGCTTCCACCTTGGATTGTGTGGACGTGAGACGCTGCGACGCCTGGGTTGGTGATTGGGTCCATACGGCCTGTTACTAGGGCACCGTTGCCGTAGAAGTGGTTTACGGCGAAGGTTCGGCTTTCTTTGGCTTGGATGGTTGTCGATAGGCCTGCTATCATGGCGATGAATGTCTTGTGGTGCATTTGGCGGTTTTTGGATGGACGGGTCGAGATGTAGGGAGAAAAGAAGACTATGCGCTGTCTAAATATACAGCAATGCAGAAAGGAATGAAGTCTCAGGTACCGACTCGAGAGAGAAAAGAATGAATGCTGTTGAGGAAATAAAATGAATAGGCCACAGAACCCCTGTTATATAGACGCTCATTGTGCTCGTTCTCGTTAAAAAAATGTTAATAATGACCAGAATGAACCTCGGTGGGAAGTTTCTTTCATTGATAGAGAAGAATCAGGCTCCAAGCCAAGAACTCCACAGTCTGTTCACAGGCAACATTGTAGCGCCAGGATCGGGGGAGACTTGCCCCGGTGCCTTTGTTCGCAGATGAAGCAGATGCCGGACTGCAAATGCCACTCTGAAAGCGCCATGGCGTAGGGCTAATGAGATCAGGGGACTCCTTTAAGCCCTTGAGTGTTTCAGGATAGCTTAATATGAAACGTGGGGCTAAGACTTGAGATCCATCATTTACTACGAAAGGTAAGAGTAAATACATACGAGAACGAGTAGATTAAACACGCTTGAAACACCAGATGACTTCTGGGAATTATCGAATTGATGCAGGAATGTTTTTATGGGGCAAATGAGCATATCCAAGAAAATTAAAGGCCGAAACTGAATCGCTGGGCAAAGCTCTCATCCATGCATAAAGTCGCTCGAAATAAAATAAAAGGGACCAAAACAAAATATTAATAACACAAATTGGTCCAATGAACTCCATATCCAAACAGTGCTTGAAGCACAAAAAATCAAAATATTTGTGGTGATCAAAGAACACCTGAAAGAACAGCCTCGGTGGCGGAGTTGATGTAAGGCCGCTTGGCATCGAGGTTGACACCGAAACGTCTCTCAAGCTCCTGCTTGACGGTCTTCTTGGAGATCTTCATCAAGTCGCCAGTCTCCAAGATCCGGCGGATCTCTTCTAGGATCTCATCATCAGGGGGCAGGTGGCTGAAATCTTCCATGCCCACGTCCATGTGGCTCATCATCTCAGACGGGGCGACTGAGTAACGAGAGCCCATGCCAAGAGGCAAGTCCAGCTGCGAGTGGGGACGCGAAGCTGGGAAGCCATACTCGGACTGGGGGAAGGCGTGCGACTTGGTGCCGTAGGAGTGAGCGGAAAACTCGGATCGGTCGTCGCGGGAGGTCTGGGCATCGGCCATGAGCTCGGCCTGGTGGTCCAACAGCTTCTTCTTGGGGATGGAGTTGGGGTCAAACTTTCCTTCGTCAGAAATGACGACTTTACGACCCTTTTCTCCGGTAATGACACGCGTGTTACCCCAGGAGAAGTCGTCCATGTTCCAGAAGGAATAAAGCGGTAGGGCAAGAGAGAAGACAGGGATGGCGAAGAGGTAGATCAACATCCAGCCGACCATCTCCCACTTGCGTCGGATGATGAAAATCAATGCTTGCAGACCGTAGATGACACCGAGGAGAATGAAAGACGTGATAGGGAGCACGTCTGGTTCACTGACACACCAGTAGATCAGATAGACGATATAGGCGACGGTGACAGGCTGAATAATGGTCATGAGAAGATCCATGAGCACAATGAAACGCATACTGAAACAGCAGAAACCACACAGCTGGTCGAGAGGAATGAGCTCCATCAAGTTGTGCACAGTAGAGTTAATCCATCGGCGACGCTGGGAAAGGAAGACTGCGAAACTTTCTGGTGCGACGGTCCAGGCGTGGGATCGGAAGATATACTTGGTCTTGTACTTGGGGTGGAACTTGATGAGCAGGGTCGTCAAATAACGATCCTCGCCAAGGTGGAGCAAGTTCTTCATGTGGAGAGTATCGACACGGATCTCGGAGTAGGCATCAACCACATCCTTGCTGACGAAGAGGGGCTTTCCTCCATCCGCTGCACGGACACGGTACATACTGAAACAACCCGGCAGACAAGTGACGGATCCGAACAAACTCTCAAAGGCCTTGGTCAGGTTGTGGGAGATGTAATATTCGTAAACTTGGATCATGGTCACGATAGAGGTCTTTGCGTTGGACAAGGAAGTTTCTCCACAGACACCAATGAGACGAGTATCCGAGATGAACGCTGAGACGAAACGAGTACCAGCGTCCGGGGCAACCATAGTATCAGCATCAACCTGTAGAATGTATTCGTAGAACATTGGATTGACACCAATGATATTGCGAATGTGATGATGCATCTCAAGCTCCATGGGGCTCATAGGCAGGTTATAGTGGACACGATTGAGGAAGCGCATAAGAACCATCTGAGAATCACGCTTTCCACGGTTACCAGGGCGGGACACTTCGGAAGGCTTTCCAACCTTCACGACGACGAGGAAAGGAACAATGTGACCCTGGACCTCGTATAGACCGGAATAAATCTTTGCCATGTTGTGCTGCTTCATACCCTCGCCCAGACTCTCAAAGCTGAGAGGCTCGGGGTCCACGGATTCAGGAACACCCAGAATGTCAAGGACGATGCGGGGAGTAGGGCGGTCGTTGCCTTGTCCGATAATCATACCATCACAAATGACCAGCAAAAGCTTGCGCTTGTCATCGTAACGCATACGAGCCATAGAGTCCATGGCACGGCGCAGAGATTCTTCGTCTTCTGTATAGGCCGGCACCTGGCAAATGATGAATTTGTCCAAGTCCTCCGGAAGGTTTTTCTTTCCGAATTGGAGAGCAGCCAAAAATTTGAATAGAATAATGGAACACAGCATGATAGAGATGGCAAGAATGAAGTATCGCGCAAACTGACAGCGGACGGAGTCTCGAGTATCTACCTTGCCGATGAAGAACAAGTTGTCGAGACAAAGCTGCATTCTGGAGCGGAGCGCGGTATCAAAGTCCAAGTTATCCCAGTACTTGGTCACGTCCTGACCAGAGCGTCCTTGGAATAGATCGACAACCAGAGGGTCCATGTAATCGGTATCGACATTGCTGCTGCCATTCTTCCCGGTAGGGAAGCGGGCCACACGGGGTCCAGCGATGTAATAAGTCATGTCGTAGATCTTTCCATTGATACTCGCGACGTTCTTGGAATCATCGGTGGCCAACTTCTTCATAGCTTTACTCGTATATCCAATGTATCCCTTTTTGTAGTTTGCGCGCATCATAACCATTTGCTCATAGAACCAATCGGCCCGAGAGTCGTTGGTCCAATAGCGGAAATCGTGATACTTGGCGTTGACATCGAAAGTAGTACTGGAGGTTGTCTCTGCAGAATCGTTCAAGTTTGATCGGTAGTCAAGGGGAACGCTAGGATCAACTTTTCCGGTGGTACCCTGGCACAAAGCAGAGACTTGGACCGGGAAAAGATTGGTGGCATCTGTGCCGGCATAGTTCTTCAACGACTTTTCGGGGACGATGCTGGGGTAGTGGGATGGGATGAAGTTGCCAAGATTGAAGACTACACCTCTGATAGCGACAAAAGAGTTTTGCCCATTCTTGCCGTTGTGGTTGCTGAGTTCTGCAGTGTTGTAGACATCTTGAGTTGGACAAACCACACCGGGGAAACCGACAATCATGAACACCGCGACACCGCAAGCAAACCAGATAATAATGTTGATGGCGAGCTTCTCACGCCAGGCAACACGCACGTCCTTTCGCTTCATCCGACCGACGAATTTTATAACGAAATCGGGAATCCAGAACGTGAGCAGGTAAACCAAAAACATCCAGCGACGACGAGTGCCGGAGACGGTGGCTTCGTCGACCTCCTCCATATCCTTATTGTTGCCCTTCTCGAGCATTTGCTCCTTGGTCTCGAGATTGTGGAACATATCACCAGAGTTGAAGGCCGAGCCACCAGCATCCGAGCGTCCATCAAGTTCACGGCTACCAAAGTAGCCATGCTTAGCTTCGTCTCCGTAGATGAAGGCACCGGGGGATTGGTCGTTGGGGTTCAGAAGTCGGACCTTAGAATCTGGGTTTCCACCAGAAGTCTGGAATCCGTCACCGTCGGCACCGGCTGCGCCATAGGTCGGGAATACACGCTCGCCGACCTTGGCGATATCTGCCCAGCATCTTTCACTCAAGAAAACACCAGTGCTACCTGCCCGAGCTTCATTGCCGGGCCATCGCTTTTCGTCGAGGACGACCTCGGTTTTTTCTCTGTCGCTGCCGACGACAATATTTCCGATGTCAGCCAAGCCAAGGAACTCCCCGAAAGGAAGGAAAACACTGTAATCAGCGTTCCGCAGCCGCGAGCTGATTTCAGCGATACCGAATGTCTGAACCTGCATCCTAACACACTTGCTGTCGAACTGGTTGGCAATGCGGCGGTCATTAGGCTTGAGACAGATGATAAAGTAGGGGTTGAGGTTGGAGGAGCTCAAGCACTTGTTGATGACTTCCAAGCCAGAAAGGAACTGGCCAGCGGCTCCCTGAGCGGGACCAGAGAGCATGCCATTCTTCCGACCAGTCTCCCGTTTGGAGCCCGCGACTTGGCTCTCATGCTCCTCTGTCTCATCGCTATCGGCATGAGAGGGGGCGGCAAAACGAGATGGAGCACCAAGCTTGCGTCTAGCCATGCTGGGCATCCGCAGGGGCTTGGAGCTGACCTGGGCCTGCATAATAGCAGTCTTTTCTTGTGGGTGGGAGATGGTCTGAAGAGCCTCTTGATGGAAGAGCTCACGCACAAAGTCACTGCGAGTAGAGCGCATCAGGTTCATCAGATCGCCAGAAATGACTTCGCCATTCTCCTCGATCAGTCCAGTAACAGAGTAATCGATCTCGCCCGCGAAATGCTTGACGGTGAAGGCGCTTCGGGATTGTGCCATGTAGCCCGTTCCACTCGTGCTTCCGACGGAAATGGCGGGGTTTTTATTCTCAAAGCGCTTGCGCACGCTCTCGATGAATTGGGCATCAGAGCGTCCACGCTTCGTCTGGTCATCCAGAATGCTCAACAAGCCGTTTCCATGCTTCAGGAGACCGCGCACGGTATCCGTGTTGTCGAAATAGCTGGTGG